TGTACTAAAATCCTGCCAGTTTATCTGCTTACCTTTTGAACAGGCTCCAGCTATGAACTTTCTTAGCCACTCGATCACTTCTAATCCTTCCAGCAATATTGTACCCTTTTTCGCTTCCCTTACCTTTAGGCTTACCTTCCCCTTGATTCTCATCTCTTCGAACAGGAGATTTTTTGCTTCCATCTTCAAAGATCTCCTCCACTGACCTGCCTGCACGAACTCCATGTGCTTTGCTTCAATCTTCAGACCCAAGCCCCTTTACAAACCCCCAGAGTTGGAGTGGAGTCGAGAATCTGAATCATCTCCATGCAGATTTAGATCCAGGAGATTGTGAGACACTGAGATGTTTCAAGGAGAAAAATGGGAAGAGAAGAGAAGAAAGAATGAAGACTTTTTTTGTTTATTACATACATAAAAAAAAACTGGAGAAACTTTTGCTAGCATTGCATGTGGAACCAGATGGGTATCAAGAAAATTTAAGATTATTTAGCTAGAGATAAGACAGAAAGTGTCTTTTTGTATGGTGACAACTATTTACTTACGAAATTTTCATTGGAAAAATTGCACATGTCCATACAATGGTGTACATCCTCTTATATACACATTTATTTTTACATATATTAATACATATAGCAATTAATGTTACTTAAAAAAAAAGGATTTGTGGATTGGAACAAGGATTAGAAGAGGATGGGTACTCATAAAATAAAAAGAGGATGGGTAATAGGTCATGGTAACAGTATATAACCAACCAAGCATTATAAAGTGAAATGGCATAAAATGCTCATAAACTCAATGTTCATATTTTGCAAAGTAAGCAGGAATGACACACTGACATAGAGAGAGAATGATAATATACTGATACAGTAATTATGAACAATGTTAGGACAACATACATGCATGTCATGCAGGGTAAGGCAAATCCTAACCCTTTGAGAAGTTGCGTGGCATGTTTGAAAGGACTATTCTGAATTGGGCTTCCATCTTAAGGTTGTTTCGGGATTTGAAGTATAATCAATTTACTGATCATTGGGATCACATCTTATAGGATGATAGTTTTGTATTATAATGCTCGCTGGAACTATTTAGTTGCATGCTTTACGTATCCTTGTATTGGGTTGTAGAGGAAATCTCTCCCTCTACAGCCTCCGATATCTAATAAATTTACTGCCTTTCAAAAAACAAGGAGATGAGGAAAACAAAGAAGTCCCACTTAGCGTAGGAGCAAGACAGAACCATCTTCACATCTTAACTGCACTTTTACAGAAGAAAATAATATAGATGACCAAAGATTGCAAATCCTTAAAACAGGAAGAGGCCCACAAACGACTTAAAACCATTAAGAAACTTACATGATCTTGTGCAAGTTTCTTGCAATGCAATTCAAATTGAAACCTAGAATCAAAGCAGGAAGTTATAAAGGGCCAAATAGAAAGTCCAGAGTTCTTTCATGCATTCATTCTACTTATGTGCACTTGCGTAACTCTGATAGCTCTGAGATCATATTGAACATAATCGGCTCTTCATTTCATGGAATCAAATTAATGTACTGAAATTACTCACTTCTGATAAGTAGAATCAACAACCATAAGTCCTGCAGTATCAGCTAACTGGGCTAGCTCCTTGAGTGATTCCTCTATGCCAAAAGTATCATCTTGATCACCTTTGCATTCAACGCCAACAAGATAAGCTTTTTCTTCAAATACCTAAAAAGTAAAGATCGAAAAAATTAATTCTTTGCCAATTAAGGGTTCAAAAAAAATTGGGTTGGTTCTGAACTTTTGATCTACCCAGATTCACCAAAAGTAAATATATTTCTATCTTTTCAAAGCACAGTAGGGAGTTATATAAAACATTAGCGAAGTGATAAAATTGTTCTTGAATTTAGGATATTCGGCTCAATTACAACATTCTTATAGGTTGAGTTGATATTTCGATTAAGAATTAAGACAGAAATGCACAGAGCGAGTAGAACAAGTTCTTCTGATTCCGAATTCTAAAGAAATCATTGATAATTGAAATCTTAAATAAGAACTACTGCGAGAGAAAGAGAGAGATGAGGATTGACCTCTCGCCCGTTGCGCAACTTGAACCTACTTCTGAAGTTGTCATCATCTTCGCTCTTCTTAGAGTCCCTTTTAGGAGGTGGCCTATATGAGGTTAGGTTATTCTCTGACTCTGTGAACTCTGCAACTCCATTACTGTTAATAGCTCCATCGACCTCCTCTTCTTTAGCATCAGCGACTGTTGGGTTCTTTTGCAAGAAACCACTCTCAGCAGATTCGACATCGAGGACTTCGATTTCTTCTCTGAGAGCTCTGAGTATTGGAATGGATATTTTCCGAATAGAAAACCTAGTTTTAACTAAATTTGGAGTCCATGGAAGAGCGGTATTGGGGATTACAGTTGGAGGAAGGATAATGGAACGCCAGCATGTGCTCATGATAGTGTTTTCAACTTTTCCGGTTTTCTCTTCTCAAGTTTCGTTCCGCCGTTCCGGTTCTGAACTTAGATATCTCTCTACCTGTGTGAGCATGCATCCCATTTTGTTTCTTGATGGAACCGTAGAAACGGTCCGTGCTTAACTCGCCACGTGTCTCAACTTTCGTTGTGTATAAAAGCCCCGATCTCAAACGGTTAAACCTAAACGGGTAATCGGATTTGCTGACAGTGATATATAACCAGATCTGCTATAAGCAGGACGTGTAGAACGAGCTACGATACCCAATCAGAAAAAAACACGTCGTACCCCGTAATACAATTCAAGGTTTAAACCCGAAATGTCGAAATGATCCGTTTTCCATATTCTGATTTTTCGATATAGAGAAATACAATATAGCGATGCTGTTTTTTTTTTTTTTTCGGTAGTGTAGGGTTTTAGGTTTATGCTTGCTGGTTTTAGTGAAAGTTGAATCTAAAAGAAGTTCGATCTTCACTCTTCAGAGCTGCAAGTCTCTGCAATGTTATGGTGTTTGTGGCTTTAGGATTACGAGTCCACTTCTATAGAAGGAAAGTATCACACGGTCTGTAAAGCTTCTGCGTAATCAAATGATGAGGCATCTTCAATCCATTTGGGCGTCATTGGCGGGTCGTAGTCGCTCCAGAATCGCTTCTCGAAACCCTAGTTTTGATTACCAGACATTGGAAAACCTCAATAATTCTGGGTTTAATCGATCGAAAACTTTGAACTTCTCATCTTATTCGTTTTCAGATCTCTTTCGTAGGCGAGAAATCGTTACTCCGAACGATCAGTCATGGAACCTTTCGAGTTTTGTGCGTGAATATAGTTCGACCGGACAAGAATCAAAGGTGGCTCCGACTGAGAGGGTTTCTGCTATTGTCGATGAGATCTCTGGTCTTACTTTGCTCGAAGTTGCTGATCTTACGGAGGCTTTGAGACAGAAACTCGGTGTGAGTGAAATGCCCATCATGACTATGATGATGCCGGGAATGGCATTTGGAGTTAAAGGTTCGGCGAAGGGAGGTGGAGCCTCAAAAGGTGAGGAGAAGAAGGCGGAGAAGACTGCTTTTGATTTGAAGCTCGAGGGTTATGATGCTGCTGCTAAGATTAAAATCATCAAGGAAGTTAGAACTTTTACTGATTTGGGTCTCAAGGAAGCTAAGGATTTGGTGGAGAAGGCTCCCACCTTATTGAAGAAAGGTGTGCCGAAAGAAGAGGCGGAGAAGATCATTGAGAAGATGAAGGAGGTCGGCGCGAAAGTTGTCATGGAATAAAAGGTAGCTTTGTTTGTTGTATTTTTTGGTTCCTCCGATGAGCTGAACCTGAATTGGGGTACGAGGTGAAGGAAATGATTCTAGGGTAGTCTGGATACATTTTACTTCAATTTTGTCCTCAAACAAATAGTTCAAAATTATACAGGAGCATTTCCAAATAATCCTTCTAAACTCATTGACTTGGAGTTTTCCAAGAGCGCTTACATAAAAGATGAAGGATTTTGGTTGATTTTCTTCTCATTATGATTGTTTTTTGAACACATTGCATAACTAGGATTTTTTACATTTATACGTACTTCTGTACTTCGAGCTGTCTAGCCAAACCATGTGTTTCAACACTGAACTGTTGCCCACTCTGAAAGAATATTTGGGTTTTTAAAAACTGAAAGAAGATATTCATTTTTTCTTCTTTTTGATGGATGGTATAGGGTAGTATTGTATTGATGAATATCAAAAGGGCAAAATTTAAAGCTACAAAATCTCTACATGGTCAAAGATCCCGGTAACCTCTATACATCAAAAGAAAACCTGAAAATAATTTCCACCTGTTTGTCCCTTGAAATGGTTGAATGGAAAACCTTCAAACTCCTTGATAATCAACACCCACCGGCCCAGCCAACCAAAATTCTTTTGGTCTTGCCTATAAGATATAGGTTGTAAGGCCGTAATCTATTTAAGATTTGTGAAGCCCTTTCTTTCCAATTGAACCAGCAAACTGTGAAGGGAAGGACATTCTATAAAATAGATCCTCTGTGACAAAACCCCATGACTGATCATGCAGCAATCAGCATAGATAGATTTCTCATCAGTACCCAAGATCCCATAAATAGTTGTAAAAACCAACCCAAGATCCCATAAACAGTTGTAAAAACCAAAAAAAAAAAAAAGAATCCACATATAAAGAGAAAAAACTACGGTGTCTAAGCAAGTTGGGTATTGTTTCATCATCATCTTTTGCATAAGTAGCATGTTTTCTCAAGAGAAAAAACTACTGTTTTAAAACCAACCCAAGATCCCATAAACGGTTGTAAAAACCAAAAAAAAAAAAACGAATCCACATATAAAGAGAAAAAACTACAGTGTCTAAGCAAGTTGGGTATTGTTTCATCATCATCTTTTGCATAAGCAGCATGTTTTCCTCTGGATATCAGGTGATTAATGATAAGGATCTTATTAAGGGTTGTAACTGTCTTTAGTAGTGAACAAGTGGTGCTTTATGTTGGTTCCTGTATAGGAGAGACAATTACTATGCAATTTCTTGCTGTTGTATATGGCATTTTAAATGCATTTCTATTGCTGAAGATTTCAGTTAGTTCTAGAAGTAGCTTCTTCACATTTATTATTGATCTATGCTTACATTTATCCCAACTAGCTAAACATTTTTCTTGTTCAGTTTCTTACCATTAATTCACTTCTTTATTTGTATTAATTAATGACTCTATTATTACACACATATTTAAAAAAGTGTAATCCCTCTCTCTCTATCTACCTATCTATCTATGCTTGTAAACAAAAGAATACATACTAAAGTTGCCCCGTAAGCCTTAAGATTCAGAACTTCATGATAAAATGAGTTAAAGCAAAATTTAAACTCATAAAAAATGTAAATGGTTGTAATAGATCAACCAAATAATCTATTACACAATTAGCACAAACAAAAACTAATATTTAACTTCATGTTTGAAATGAATATTGAGCTGTCTCAATGTAGTAATCATGTAAGTTAGGTGTGCAATAACATAGTGCTGGTATTTTTCATCAGGGAATATGTCAATTCCAATAAAATTTCATGTTGCTACCCATAAGTGGAAATGGAAATATGTCATGAAAAGGGTCGTTTGACTCCAAAAGGGTTGTTAACTTGTGCTTCTTTCTTTAAATCCCTTTGCGCTAGTTCTTCTCCTTGGGCATTCCTAGTTAAAGAAGTTTGGTCTAGGCATATTCCCCCAAAAATAGCTATCTTTTATTAGGAAGTTTACTATGGTAAAATCAATACGATGGATAACCTTGGCTGATTATCTTGCTAAACAAGGGGCTACTCGGGTCTCTTTGTATTGGGCTTCTCTGTAATTTCTTTGTCCTTTGTTCAGTTTATTAACTAAAGGGTGGATGGTATCCTCCATCTCCCCTCCTTAACGGGGAGGTAGCATCTCATGCCTCTTCCTAAAATGTACCCTCTTTGGCTATGAATTAATAAATTTTACAATTCACTGATAAAAAAATATATGTCGTGAAAACTATCTCATGTACTCCACATAGTGCTGGTAGTGTTCATTGGGGAATACATTGGTTCCAATAAAATTATGTGTTTCTACCCATGGAAATATAACTATGTCGTGGAAATATTAGGGAAATTAGGGACATTTTAAACCATAATAAGACTTGCTGATGGGTCGGTCACTAAACCTACTAAAGGTACATGGTTGTTCATTTTATGGGACACAAACATGATTCAAGTTTTAGATCATTTTATAGGATAATACTTTATGCCCTATGAAAAAATGTTACTGGTGGTGTGAATTGGCAATTGTCCAGACTTATAAAAAATGGCAATTGTCTAGTGTCTATGGTCCTACAGATGGAAAATCATATGCAGAGTTTGTGGGGGGAGTTGGAAATCTCTTTCAGTTGGAGTGCTCCATGGTGTGTCAATGTCAATGGAGATTGCAACATTATTGGATTTGCTTTGAGAAAAGAGGAGGTACAAGGATAACCAACATTGAATAATGGCCTTTATGGCCCCTCATTACTGAAGTTGGATTGATTATTGATAAACAATAGTTGGGAGGATGCACTTCCGAATATAACTCAAAATGCCCTTGTGAGATTGACATTTGGATCATGTACCAATTCTTCAAATGGGTACTACTCAAAGGAAGCCAGATCCATTCAGTATGAAGAAGATGCTCATTGAGGTCCCATGTTTCTTGGAAATAATTGAGGAATAGTGGTTAGGTCATCAAAATTGTTGAGCCTCAGGGGGTCCAAAATTATAGGTCAATCCAATAATTGAGAGATTTAGGTGCAAGTAGACAGGGTTGAAGAGAGGAATACTTGTCAAAAGAAGGTAAATAAACACTAATCTATGATGCCAAGAAGGTATGATACAGGGAGAGCTTTGACCAATCAAAACAGCCAATGAACTTTGATGATGCCACCTGATTGATTACGCCTTTTATGATATTGGTTGATTGGTTATAAGTTCTTCCTATATCATAGTCGAACCCTAAACATTATTATGAATGGTTGTATAGGATTCACATGGTTGATCCCATATAGATGGGACAAGGCTTAGATGATTATGATGAGCTTGGTAGCAAAAAAAAAAAAAGGAAAAGCTTGAGGTTCTTTGTGGAAAAGTGGCATGGAAGCGGTTCGAAAGAGAACAAGCGGGGTAGGTTCATCCTTCAACTAAAACCAAAATGAAAAGGGCGGAGTTTTCATCCTTCAACTGAAAGAGAACAAGTGGGGTAGGTTCATCCACTTGAGTAGTTGGGAAAAAAAATTATAAGTGGATAAACATATGCTTACTTGAAGAGCCATCTAGTGGAGGCTGGAAGCGGCTCGAAAGACTGCCAGAGAGTGACCATTTTGAGAAGCCTAAGTTCCTTCCCAAACGAACTAGATCTTGGCCTCCTAAAATGAGAAGCCAAAAAGGCAAGGTGGGCCAAGCCTCTCTCGACAGCCCCGCTCAAAATTCAAATCGTCTCCAGAAAGTGGGTCGTTCTAACAAGACTCACTAGTTAGGGGCTCCAAACCCGCTTCAAGTTTTGGGCCAGAATCTTTCTAGAGCCCATTCGCTAGGAATGAGAGAAGGGCCACATGGCTCAAGTCCACCTGAGACCCCAACTTTCTTAACTGAGCCTATCCCTGAAACTCCTCCTAGCTCGGGAAGACACAACAGAAAGATTTACAGACCTCCTTCATCACCAAATAGTACAAACTCCTCCTCAATCTTTGAATCAGAGGGCACCGATGGAGTTGAAGATTCGAGCTCTTATGCGACGAAGGCCAAACCAGATCCTAGGGAGGTGGCGTTCTCAAGGGCCAAAGACCTGTTCACTGGTAAGAAAGTTTGGGGAAGTGTAGAACTGTTCAAACAGACTCGTATGGTCAACCCTGATCGATTGTGAGCCAGCAAGCCTAGAGAGAGATCGAGGACGAGACTCACATTCCTTTTCCAGAGTTTCCCCTTCTCCTTCCTCTTCATTGCCTTTCAATATTCTTGTTTCTTCTTCTAACCTTGGATCTCACTTTTTTCCCCTTCTTGTACTCCAGGTTCGAACGGAGAGCTTTCCCGATCGAGCATTAACCCAAACTACCAAGAAAAGTCAGAAAATGGGCATCACAGTAAGGACAAACATGTAAGGAATGTTATCTTGGAAGAAGGCATAACCAATATGGCTAGGAATTTGGGATAAGCAAAGAAATGGGAATTCCTCACAATCGGACTCCAAAAAATGGGAGCCGTGGAAATCAGAAGGTTAAGTTTGTGAACAGAAGAAAGAAGAACTGTAAAAGGGAATTAAAGAGACTTCAATGGGGATTGACAGATCAAAAGACAACAGGGCCTAGGGCAGATAAGGGAAAATCAACGATCGGAGTTCAATGAAGTTGTTAACCTGGAACATCAGAGGGTTGGAGGTCAGCTAAAATGAAGTTTGGTAAAAGACACCCTGAGAAGAGAAACACCAAATATAGTCATCCTACAAGAAACAAAAAAAAAAAGAAGTGGACAGAACTTCTGAGAGCAATTTGGGGAATTCGTGGAAAGAAATGGGTTGTTCTTCCTGCTCTAGGCACCTCAGGGGGAATCTTCCTAGCTTGGAACGAAGAGGAGGTGTCGGGCATTGAGATAGATAAAGGAGAGTTCTCAATCTCCATACTCTTTACTAATAAAAGTGATGGTTTCAGCTGGATTATGACTGGAGTATATGGACCAAATGTTCCTGCAGATAGACCAAATGTTCCTGCAGCTGGATTATGACTGGACTCTCTGCACGAGTTTAATGAGCTCCCTTAGGTCCTAGGAGGTTGTTCTCCCAAGAAAATTCAAACAGAAGATTAGTAACTAGAAGCATGAGGGATTTCTCCAGTTTTATCTTGAGGCATAACCTTTGCGACCTCCCTCTCCACAACGGCCAATTCACTTGGTCAAAACTACAAGAGAACTTAATAAGCTGCAGACTGGATAGGTTTCTAGTAACTTCAGATTGGGCAGAACACTTTCCTAATCTTCTCCAAGAAATCAGACCTCACTGCACCTCAGATCACTGGCCATTAGTCCTG